ACTTTGACTGAACATATTGCACTTCATCTTTCAAAACTTCTATGTCACAGTACTACACATATATAGCTATCAATTATATGAGATGTTGAATGATATGAACTTGAACTAATCGAGATGCAACCATTTTCTTTCTGATATTACATAACTATATCCCACGAAGTCATGATAGTTTAACAGTTTAACTATATGTTTAAGATGATAGTCATAAGCATATCATTAGCTACCCTCTGGTAAACTAACATAGCTATTGAACATGGCATAGTTATTTTAGTTTACCAGAGGGTAATGATTAACTATATCCATGAGCATCCATGATAGTTTTAACTATATATGTTTATAGCATGATATTATATAACTACCCTCTGGTTATTTAACATAGCCATGGTATATATGGCCCATAGAAATAGATGGTTTACCTATTAAACATGGGTGGGTCTTTTCATGGCTATGTTAAATAACCAGATGGTATATCATCAACCGTATTATAATAAAACCATATTAGTTAACTATATATGTTTATAGTATGAATATCATGTACCATTAACTATATATAACCATGTTTTATTAGATGTTACCCTCTGGTAAACTAACATAGCTATGGAAAATATTGGCAAATCACCATTTTTAATGGGAAACTCACTGTAAATGGGCCATTTTCAATAGCTATGTTAAATTACCAGAGGGTAACTATATCATTAGCTAATGGTTCATATCATAAAAAAATGAAGCCACCAGGACTACGCTGCCCGCATCCGCAACCTGCCCATGATGGACGGAACCGAGCCGGTGGAGGAGGAATTGAAGAAACGTGGCCGTGGCGCATGGCTTTTCCGTGGTGCTTTTGGGGAGTTCATGGGACATCTATTGGACATGGGAAAATATGGGAGATCTATGGCAAATCTATTGGGAAATGGGAGATCTATGAGAATCTATGAGAATCTATGGTGATTTCAGGAGTTTGTAGAGAATCTACATGAGAATGTTTGGAGTTTTTGTTTTTTTTTTTTCTGGCAGATCTATAATACATCTTTTGGTGACACATCACCATGGTGATGGTGGATATTTCCACTTTTAGTGCGACTAAAGTAACTAAAGCATAATCAATTCATCCGTTTTAGACGTTTATTTTGTGCGCCATATACTGGCCTCAAGCATAGACTGATCGAACTTTTCTCTCAACCTATGATGAGCATGCTGATGATGAACCCCGAAAATGCCAAAAACATGGAGATCTTGTGCCTAATTTTTGGCCCTTCCTTTTTTTTGGGGACCTACCCTTACCCTTACCCGCAGACATACAGAAGCCATGTTTTTTTTCCAGGGGATCCATCGAGGCCTAGAGGAAGCGACCGGTCAGAAGGTCGTGGGCGTGTCGGTCTGCTGGGACTTCCAGGACTATGAGGATGAACTCTTGGCACCCTGGATGGGGGATGGATGGGGGATACCCTCTGGTAAACTAACATAGCTATGGAAAATCACCATTTTTAATGGTAAAACTCACTATAAATGGCCATTTTCAATAGCTATGTAACAAATTACCAGAGGGTAGGTTGTTGAAGTGGAAAAAGATGACTGGAACAAGTCGTTTGGAACGACTGGGATTTGGTGATTTGGAGGATGGATTTTTTGGATCGATTGGTGAAAAAGAGAGGCCGATTGCCAGTCCGATTTGGATCTCGACCATGTGGCCATTGCCGCCAGAGTGGACCGACAGAGATGAGAATTTCTCCATCAACAGGTGGTTTTAATACGGTAATAATGAGAACCTTCTAGGTATGAATGTGGATTTTCCATGGTTCAGATTGCCAGATAGACGCAGATGGTAAAATCTTCAATGTCTAAATATTTACAATTCGCAGATGATCATTCAATATCATTCAAGAGGTCTAGTATGTAGCAGAGTCTAGCAACTATCGCCAGCTGAAACACCGAAAGAGGTGGGATGCCGAGACAAAATGGCTCTCTCTCCGTTAACATCTCCACTCGCCACTGAGGAGTTGATCGAGAGCAAATTGGTGGAGAAGGACGAGAAGCTTAATCCTATGCCGCTGACCACTGAAGATCAACCTGAACCCGAAAGCTGCGTGGCCCAGGGGGCCCAGGTGTTGTCAGAACAGTAAACCATGGTGGATTTTTTTTGTTGGATGAAACCACATACTTGGGACCATGGTGGGGGTGTTTCATATGAAAGATGGGATTATTGGGTGGAAAGATGGCAGTGACATATTTCTTTTTGGTTTGGAACTGCTGAAGAACAGAACTTTGGATGCGTAGATTCACCTTGAAGTAGGCAGACCAAAGATATCACTACATGAGTCTACCGGACACGTCATCCCAAGTACTATCCAATTGCTTGGTATATTTCTTCGAAATTTTCCAAATCAGGATGAATGTCTTTCACAAATAAGCACATTTTCATGCTTTTCCGATTTCGCGATATTCCTTGGTTGACATTCCGCATTTCTTCCACCCTTTCCACCTCTTCAGCCAAGGCTTCTTCGCACGCATGGAACGTTCCATGCTCGCAGCTGATGCCGAGCGAGTGGTGGCTGTGACAAAGTTGGATGGCAGGGGATCAAGACACGGGGATTATCAGATTGAAATACTATAAGAGTTATATATACTATGAAACGATGAGTATAGATATAATATATACTATCTATATGATATATCTATATAATAGTTATATGGTGTATATATATATATATCTGGGTAAATTATAACGACCTCACTGTTCTCCCTCACTGGAATCATGATTAATAAGGGAAATCATCCCCAAGTGGCCGAAGAAAGCAGGTTAGTGAAATATTATAATTTACCCAGATATATATTTCTTTTTTTCTGGTTGATGTTTTAAATATTTTGGCGGAACCATAAATCATATTAACACATACCCATTGTTGATGCCCAAATACTCATTTTTAATGGTTGCTTATGCCCCAATTCTCAAAGGTTACGGCAAGTAAAACTTGTTGATGCTTATGTCATGTATTTGTAATACTTAAACGATTAAAAGATCATGATATCAATTTGTTAGCTAAATCGCAATTTTCCATCGTAAATTAAATTCCATATTGTTAATTGTTAACTCATCATTTTTCCATGGTAAATTCAAATTACATATTTTGAACCAATTTTCCATGGTCAATTCCATATTTTGGATGGTTCAAATCACACTTTTCTATGGCATGGTTCTAATCACAATTTTCCATGGTAAATTCCATATTTAAAGGATGGTTCAAATCACTTTGCCATGGTAATCCGATTTTCCCACGGTAAAATCACCCAAAATTGTGCCGTTCTCAGGTGGCCAAGGGCGAAATGAGTGAGGAGGAGAAGGAAACGGCACGGCGGGAAGCACAGGCGCAGGCGGCGAACCCTGATGAGGAGATCGTGGAGGAGGGGACGGCTGGAGATGAGGGGATAGAAAATCTAGTAAATGTGGGACGATGGTTTTGGGATGATTTGAGATGGTTTTGGGATGGTTTTGGGATGGATTTGGGATGGATTTGGGATGATTTGAGATGGTTTTGGGATGGATTTGGGATGGTTTTGGGATGATTTGAGATGGTTTTGGGATGGTTTTGGGATGGATTTGGGATGGATTTGGGATGATTTGAGATGGTTTTGGGATGGATTTGGGATGGTTTTGGGATGATTTGAGATGGTTTTGGGATGGTTTTGGGATGGATTTGGGATGGATTTGGGATGGATTTGGGTATAGAAACACCTGCTCAACAACTAAGTTACAATCATCATCCCATATTGTAATAGTCGATATTGTATGAGAAATACTTTTAAATTGTATATAAATATAATCCATTCTCTGCAGTACGAAACCAATATGATAAACCAAGTAAATTTGTCCTAACAATAATAATAATAATCGTTCCATGAAATAATCCCACAACATAGTCCATCAAATAATCCATACTGCAGGATAATTTGGGATGTTGGTATGACCCCCTTTCATAATCTGGATTATGTGCCCTTAATAAACCTACCACAAAAGGGGGCTCGGTCATAACAAACATTTTCCCAAGTAGGGGTATACTCTCAATCATAAGCTGAATTGGGAGATGGTGTATCCATTCCATTGAGCTAATGATCTACCCTCTGGTAAACTAACATAGCTATTGAAAATGGTCATTTATAGTGAGTTTTCCCATTAAAAACGGTGATTTTCCATAGCTATGTTAAATTACCAGAGGGTATCTGTTTTTTTCTGAGTGGGGGTACGACAATTCCAGTGTAGTATCATCATGTTCTCCATTGAAGTTGCCATGGGGGACCCGAGTCTTGGACAGCAGTGTTTCAGGGCTCCGTAGTTTTAGACACCACTCCTAGATCCAGAGATTGAAACCGAACTTCATGTATTTTGATTCTTCATTCTCTATCTCCATGTATACAACATTATACACACTTGACCACTTTTGGTGTTTCGGATCCCCATTTTCCCATCATTTTCCCATCATTTTCCCATGATTTTCCCATGAGGAGTGCAAAGAGGTGGACGTGGTGGGCATCCTGAAGTCTCTGAAAACCTGCCCCGACGCCTACGCCATCTTCGAGACCGAGGCCGCACGGGACGCAGCGGTGGAGTCGGCGGGAGCCGGCGGCGTCGAGTTCAACGGCAACACGCTGAAACTCAACGCCTCACGCGGCTTGGCGCCGGGGGAGCTGGGGATAGCCGGGGATCATTTTTTGGGCCAAGAAATAAACATCGAACTATTGGGGATGGTTGATTATGATTTACATCAGTATGGTGTATTCATGTTTATTAAACAAATAAACCAACAAATAAACATCAATTATGGTGTATTCATGTTTATTAAATTGGGTTTTACCACAGTAGACGGAAAAAAAACATCTGGCCTGATTTTTACAGGAGCTCTCTTGACCGCCGGAAGAGTTGTAGGTCGGAAAGGCAGGATGATGGTGATGGTGATGACTTGTTGTCACTATTGTGACTCTAGTGATAATGATAGCAATGACATGGCATGACCAGATGACAACATAATATGATAACAACAACATATAACAAACACTCATAACAACGATTCTGCTGCATTGGATGAACATTGATGAATTTACATCCACCCTTCCCACCATCGACCACCCTTCCCACCCTTCCCATTCTCAATCGAGGTGTGGAGCCTCAGACGGTGAATTGGAAGAACTGCGCCAACACGGACATCACGGTGAAGGCGAAGCGTGTGGTCATGGGTTTCTTCATCATGTTGGCAGGCGCCATGGGCGTGAAACGGTGGTTGGGACATGTTGGGACCATCCTGAGCTTAGCAGCCAAAAATGGGGCCCAAAAATATGGGCTTTGGAAGAGAAGTTTCTGATCGAAAAATGGCAATTTTTATCAGCTGGAGGGTTTTTTAAAGATGTGTAAACATCAAACAAAAGGGTTTCTGGTAGTGATTCCCCTGTAGAAGTCACGTGGGTGGGTGGTGTTCCAACATCATATTAAGCGGAAAACGACATGATGCTGGTGCTGGTGGCGGCGGTGATTCCACCCCATTTTCAGGCACACCCACATGCACGCCAATACATGTTTGATATGGATTATCATGTGGATATGGGTCAGCATGATCAACCCATTTTGGTATTTTTCCTGTAGCGCCCGTGAGAGGCCTTGCGTTGTGGGTCATTGCTTTCTACCTGTCACTCAGATGCAATCCTTCAGTGATTCGTGTGCCATACCTGTGGAGAGCATTGGAATTATCATGGTAATCGCATCCCCCAAAATACGAAACGCCCCACTAAAGGGCCGGAACATGATTAGATTCAGTACTAAACCAGGGTATTTGCAGGTATGTTTAACACTAGAAAGACAACCCACTATTCATTGCCCAAATTAACCATGCAATATTCTTGACTATTGTTTCTTCCAGACTCCCATGGACAATCAAATCCACTTTCCGTTCTCAGGTAGTGTGGCCTCAGACAACAAACAACACGCAAGGTTGTCATTGAACCCCCGCGGTCATCTAAGAGTGTTTTGGTGTTCCGCTTCAAAAGTTAATCATTTGGGGTTGTCTGAAGACAGGGTACTCCCAAATTTGAGGGTTAGTCATCGCATTTTCCACAGTTTTAGACATACCATTTGGACATGGTGTGTCTTTTTCTGCAGTTCGCCAAGACTGAACCCCCGCCGAGCCCGGAGGCATCGTTTTAGCGAAACTGTAAAGCTCAGCAGATAGCAGATCCAAGGCCATATGCTTGGTTCACCTTGACCTTCAACTATTCCTATGGTCAGGACAGATCAGAACTGGTTTTTGTTGGTCTGAAGTGGTTGGCAAGTTGTGTGTTGTATGCACATGTAGGAGTTGGGATGTGACTAACGTGTAATCAGAGGAGAATTCTCAATTTTTGGCGGTTAAGACCAAATCTTTGGTGCTTAAATCTGGAATGTTTGTTAATCCAATTCCCATGTGGTGCTAAGACTAGTGTGGTTTCTACTATCAGACGGGACTCTCGTAATTTTAGAGATTTCCGAAGAATTGGTAAGCCCAACATCAAAATCCTGAAGCTTGGGACAATTTACAGCACACCCCTATATAGATTTACAATATTTACATCTCAATTTCCATCGCTTCACCAGTTTCCCTGAGATTTCCGTAGCCAGGAGCCAGGCTTCGTGGCGGGCATGACCTTCTCGATGGTCGTCGTCGCCGGCAACGCCTTGATGTACCTGGTCTGTTCAGAGGTGGCGGATCGCACCAGGTTCATCTACGTGGACGACCGCGAGGTGAGTCCGGTGGGAGGAGGTGGATGGGGGTTGGAGGGTTAGCTTAGGCAGAAGAGATCGACATAGATGATATAGATATATACAGATACTATCCTATCCATTCCTATCCTATGCCTATACAATTCTATATGCTGATATCTTTAAACGGGTGTGGGATAGGATAGTGACGGGTTAGGAAGGTGGTTTTTTTGTTCGATCAGAGGGATACCACCGCCTCCATGGCCTTGCAGATGTCTCCAGAGAGGCTCATATCAGGCAGTGTTTTCAGCCAGTTCCGTTGGTGTATCTTGATCGATTTTGTAAATAACTCCTCCGAATTGGTACCCTCTGGTAAACTAACATAACTATGGAAAATCACCATTTTCAATGGGAAAATCCACTATAAATGGTGATTTTCAATAGCTATGTTAAATTACCAGAGGGTAGATCAATTCCAACATGTGTCTGGCCTCCTCAATCGGACAGTTGGTAAGTGACAAATCATCCAATGTAAAACTGTCTCAAGATGTCTCAAGACTCACTGCAATGTTTTCGGCACCTCAAAGTCTAGACTTCCAAGCTGTGCCGGAGGTGTGCTACATGCTGCTCTACTGCTTCGCCTGTGTCTTCAACGTGGCCCTGGATCTGATCACGACCTACATGGTGGCCTATCGCATCAACGTGGGCTTGCGCATGAAGACCTACGATGGCGGGGGGGATGAAATCAGGGATCCAACGACCTCGACTTGGGATGTGCATCCACTGGGGGGAAGCTATTTATTCATCTAATGGGGATGACAGTTGGGATGCTTGATATCAGTTGATGAAAATAATCATTAGATTTAATACCTTCCATGAAAATCCAACTCTATTGGGGATGACCATGATGACGCACTCCCAAGTTGGACGGCTTTTCCCTGTGGGAAAACGCATCGGATCGGGTGGTTCTTCACCGTTGCAGGCACCTTGCTTGAGAATCTGCAGCAGTTCAGTGATACCTTCGAATCCTACGCCATGCAGCGCAGCTGGTCTGGAATTGCTGGGGAAAAACAGCGAAATCCACAGGTTCAACACGGTTCAACACCTCAGTTTCCACGATAGTTTCACTCTTTTTTTGTCACCATGAATTTGGGTATTGTGAAATTTAAGACACACCCAACTGGAGAAACTTTGGGGATAAGAAAATTCCAATCACTTTGGGATTCTTTTCAGACCCAAGGTACCTTGGCCAACAATTTGTATGCCTACGCCTTCCCGGCCACTTTTTTGATTCCCTTCTTGATCGAACCCGTGGCCACCATCTATGCACCTTGGATCCCGGCTCCCCAAGCTTTCTGAATTGAATGTTGTACCCTCTGGTAATGACTAACAGTTTGCTATTGAACATGGCCATTTATAGTGGATTTACCCATTGAACATGGTGATTTTACATAGTTATGTAACAGTTTACCAGAGGGTAGCGTGGGTGAAAGGAACCACTTCGTGAACAAACGCCCCAGATTTTTGTGGCTAACAAGCCCGCACAATGGTGATGACACATGGCCCATGAGCCTATGTTGAAATAGGGGACTCCTTAGGGGACCCCTACAAAACAGGATTTCCTGCTCATGAAAGGATGCAGTACCACTTTGTGTATTTCTGACGGGCTCAATTTTATTTGAAGCGATGTAGACTGTAGACTCTTCTGTGAGCTCCAGCCCCATTTTGTTGAGGATGTTCGGATAATAATTCCTGCAGGTTGTATTCGTACCTTCCTCTTCCTTTTAATGCATTAATATTTCCTTCGTTGTTTTTTCACTTATTCAACTCACAATCTTGTTGACACCTTAATCCTTTTGCTGCTTTCCTCCCCCAACCCCTTCAGGTCCACTTGAAGAATCATCCCACTTAGCAGCCTAAAATCTGTTGCTCATCATTTTCCCTCTCAAAAAATGCCTTGATTTTGGGTGCCCATCCTCCATTACAAGACGCACCCAGGCTCCCTACAAGATGATGATGGCCATCGTCCGAACGCAGCCCAGCATGAAGGGCTTCATGGCGGAGAGGCTGCTGGGATCCCTGGTCTTCGATCTGTCGCGCTATGCAGATCTGATGCTGGACGTGATGATTGCGGTGCTGATCTTCTTCTTCCCAGGTGGACATTGAAGAAAATGGAAGGGTGAGGTGACCAAAAAAGGGAGGACTGAGGAAAGGATGGTAGATTCAGATATGAGTGGTGGTATAGTATATAATAGATATGCGCTGATATGTGTATGTTCAGATATGTGTAATTCTGCAAGAACCCAAACAAAGGCCCATGCATCCACATTGGCTTCCGGGGTTGCTTTTTAAAGGTGGCTACAACATCCAGATGTTCGTGGGACTGGCTGGATCCCACGTCTACATCTACTTCTTCGACCACTACCGCGTCTTGCGATCCATCCAGAGCTGCAACTACGCGGACAAGATGGTGGATTGGTGGACTCAATGGCTGATGTGCATCCCCTGCGGTTTCATGTTGGCCTGCGTTGTCTTCAAGGTGGGGCAGATTCGGTGTATTCCATGATTGCGGTTAACAATGATTAACATACAGACTGTAAAAAAGATGTTAACCATGAGATTCCATAGAACCGATGTATAATACTATTCAATTGATACATGCTATTCAATGATTATTGCGATTAACAATGTATAATAGAACAGTATCAAGATACATCTCCAGGTCCCAACAATTGTGTTGCTAAAGCCCAGGTTTCCTGCAACGCAAAAAAAAGCCTCCAAGGCCAACTGCCAGCCGGGCTACTTCTGCGTGGACGGCAACACCACGGTGGCGGGATGTGCCGTGGCCTTCTTTGCGCACATCATTCTGCACACCCTGGCGCTGAAGTTCGTGGTGCCAATCTTCGGATTGCAAGGTACCGGAAGAAGTTTGGGTCAGAGTTTGTTCAAAAACTATCTGTTGGTGATTGTAATTGTAAGGATTCATCAATACCTTGTGGCTAGCTGGCGAGTATGAGGGGATATACTACACCCTTTAAATACTGGGGGTTATCCTAATCCATTAATTAGGGTTTTTGACATTGCTCAGATGTGGGTGGCAACATTAATTGGGAGTGGAAACAACCATCAGTAAGCACATATCTTTTATACAAAAAGGGGATCGAAACCCACAAGGATGGAGCATTTATCAAGAAGCTGGGATTTGCATAATATATAAATCAATATTATGAATTAGAATTAAGCCAGCAACAGATATCCCAACAAGGGATTTTTATATATTTCATAAGCCATAGCAGAGAGGTGAAAAACATGCCCCAACATTGAGGTGAAAAATCAGCCACAGATTGACTGGCCGACAAAATGGTGAAGAAATCCAAAGCAAAGTCAGAATCTACGGCGCTATGTTAAGCCAGCATCACTGAAGCCTTGCTGAGGGTACCATTTCTAAGTTAACATAATAAGCTTACATGATTTAACACCTGGTTGGTGGTTTCGAATATGTCTTGCTTTCAAGCCTAGAAATTTGGGGATGATGCCAACTGTCTTTTCTATTTTGAGGGGGCTGGCTGCCACCAGCTAGCTGACATCAAGCCATCTCCAGATGAGTTTGTCATGGTTCGGAAGCGTTCGAGGCCCTTTTTAACTTTTTGTTCCCGACGTTTTCGGCTGCAACTTGGGGGCACATCCGCAGGCGAATCACCAACACCTACCAAGACTGCTCCAAACGCATTGCCTGCAGCTGGTTCTCAGCCAATCCGGTCTACTGCCTGCGCTCGCAGTACATCTACAAGCACAGCCCTCCTTGCCTCTTCTGCATCCCCGGCAAGGAGCATTTGATTGAGGTGAATGAGGACATTGGGCTGTACTTCAACGACTGTGCCGCGAAGGATGGGCGGGAAGTGAGTGGGATTTTTGTACGTATATCTCTCTAAGTACATATATAACATATATATCTATAATTATACATACATACATACATACATGCATACATACATTCATACATTCATACATTCATTCATTCATTCATTCATTCATTCATTCATTCATACATACATACATACATACATACATTTACATATTTACATATTTACGTATATTTACATTGCATGTATCTCTGAGTCTCCGGAACCCCCGGCCCCTAGACTCCCTGAGATTGGATGCTAGAAACAGTGAATATGAAAAACACATAAAGACATTTGTTGGTCAAAGTTTCAATCCCTGGCCCCACATGGGCAGTGTCACATTGTCACTTGATCCGCTCTGAGCGTCTAGCGGCAGCCAGTGCAGTCAAACTCTTGCTCTAGCAGGTGGTTAGGAGGGAGCGATTGGGAGCTTTTAGGGTATCCATATGCAATATGTGATAATATATTGGGGTATGCCCTATTTACAAATTTGCAGCCAGTTGGAGCTACAATCAGAGTTTCCCAACCAGAATTTTCGACCGTGATGTTTGTCCCTACCTTAAAAGGCGCCGCTCAATGACGAACTTTTCACCAGGAGGAAGACTACGATGCGCCTCATGTGGATGTGGATGCTGTGAAGGCCAACCTCAAGGCCCCCTTGCCGTGGTGATCACGTGGGGAAATTGGAGCTACGGATGAAAACATCAGCTGATGTGAAAGTGAATGATGAAGAATTGATGTGATATATATATATATATAAAGTGATATGAACTTTAAACATGTTCTATTTTGGTGTAAAGATGGAATATTTAAGATATATTTAAGAGAGACCATGTTTTATATTGCATACTGTAAGCACAGATGATGGAAAAAAAATCTTTCGAGCTCCTGTTTCGCATCCCAACTGGGGGCCGGTTCAGCTGTGAAGCGCTGGAGTCACCAAGGTATTGTTCCAGGCTCCATACAGATTTCAATATCTTTCCATTCCCTGTGTATACGACTATTACCAGATACCACAGATACCAGAACAAACGAATAGATTGAATAGACTATATAATTACACTGAGATGCTAATTATTACAGTCAGTGCCAGAATTATAGAACGGAGCCAGGAGGACAAAAGTACGGTAAAATACCGTACCTTTGTCCTCCTCCGGGTTCCGATTCGGAGCGGAGTCGGGAAATTTAATTATAGAACGGGGAGGAGGACAAAGGTACGGTATTTTTCCGTACTTTTGTCCTCCTGGCTCCGTTCTATAATTTCTGGCACTGACATGATATTTACTGCATATTTGTACATATACAATCTATAAAATGAAGATTTAATGAGGATTTAATGAGGATTTGATGAGGAAATGAAGATAAAATGCAGATAAAATGAAGATTTGATGAGGAAACGAGGATAAAATGAGGATAAAATGAAGATAAAATGAGGATACAATGAAGATAAAATGAGGATTTGATGAGGAAATGATGATAAAATAAAGATCAAATGAACATAAAATGAGGATTTAATCAGGATTTAATGAGGATTTGATGAGAAAATGAGGATAAAATGAAGATAAAATGAAGATAAAATGAGGATTTGATGAGGAAATGATAATAAAACGCGGATAAAATGAGGATTTAATGGGGATTTGATGAGGAAATGAGGATAAAATGCAGATTTAATGAGGATTTAATGAGGATAGAACGACGAAAAAGGTTAGGAGTAAATTCAGATACATTTTTTTTTCATACCTTCCGAGGAAAACAGAATTATAGAACAACAGGGTACGGTAAATAACCGTACCTTCGTCCTCCTCAACTTCCGTTCTATAATTCCGGCACTGACCATATAATGATTTTATTCTGGGAGTCAATATTCTAGAATTGTAATGGTAGGGATATTCTGGGTCGATCGGTTCATTTTTGGGCTCAACTACACTACCAAAGGATTTTTCACCATACGTATTTTCATTGATCATTTCAGCAAAACGAATGGAATTTTTCATTGGGTGAAGCCTGGGGGAGCCGACCGAACCAACACCCGAAGATGCTGAATTAAGTGTTTCGAACGAGTTGGTTCGTGAACGATGATATTTACATACATTTAATACATCGGAACCAGGTTTCAGGTGATATGTAAGACATATATTCTTCATATTGCTCACTTTTCTATCTATGGCTTGTCGTTACAAAAAATGATGTTTTTTTTCACTTCGATCAGCGGTTTGGCTTTTTCGATCAAGCCACGGGACAAGAGAGATGCCATTGACGAAGATTCTGAGGATTTATCCAATGTTCAATCCAACGTGTCGGAAACATCGTACTACATCGTTAAATTACATTGATAGAATTGGATGATGGGAAAATTTGCAGGTAAAAACCATGGTTTCCTGTAGATTTTCCCTTAAACCATTCCAGTGATACATTGATAAATTAAACATAGTACTACCTAAAGTACTACAACAATGAAAGTAGTAGTCCAATGTGAAAATTACCAGTGATGATCCCTCAGCGACGAGCTTTTTTCCTCCGGTTCAACCAAAAAAATGAGACCATTCAAACAAAGAAACCAAAGTATAGCCTCTGGTGATTTGTTACATAGCTATTGAACATGGCCCATTTATAGACTATTTGCATTGACTTGCCTATGAAACATGGTGACTTTCAATAGCTATGTTAAATGACCAGAGGGTATCCATATCCATAATATCCATATTATCTCCATATCATGGCCTGCCGGAACGCCAGGAGTTGAAGGGCAAGGCCGATGAGAAGTTCGAGGAGATCAAGGGCAAGGCTTCCGGACACCTAGAGGCCTCGGTTTTCGAAGACAGGGGTCCCGATGATGGGGATATGGATTGTCATGGGGTTATCATAGGTTATCATGGGTTTGGATATTTGGATATATATGTCATGGGTTATCATGGGTTTGGATATTTGGATATATATGTCATGGGTTATCATGGGTTTGGATATTTGGATATATATGTCATGGGTTATCATGGGTTTGGATATTGGGATATATATATATATATATTTGGGGATGATTGCAAAATTCTGATCCTTAGATTGCAATTTTGTTAAGCATTCTCATGGATTATCATCATAGAGCATCAATCTAGACAGTCCTGTTCTTAACGAAATGGACATTGCTCACCTGCAGTTTGAGCCATACATGTTCGTATCATGAGGTAAACCCAATGCCATAAACCATCCCCAAAATCACCATTTTATTGGGTAGTGTAAACCATCAAAATATGGCTGGTTTATTATTGCTTTACTAACATTAAAACATATATATATATATAATATAATATAATGTAATATAATGTAAAGTAATGTAATGTAATGTAATATAATAAAATATAAAATAATAAAATAACATATAATATAATATAATATAATATAATGTAATATAATATAATATAATATAATATAATATATATATATGATATATAATATATATATACATCATATATATATATATATCATATATCATATACATATGTATATATATATATATCATATATATATATATAGATATCACATATATATATAGATATATCACATATCACATATATATATAGATATCACATATCAGATATAATATATCATATGTATATCATATATCACATACATATACATATATACACATCATATATATATATCATATATCATATATCATAATATATATATATCATATATATATGATTATTATACATATTATATGATATATATATATATATCATATAATATGTATAATAATATATATATATATTATTATTATGATGATGATTATTATTATTTATTATATATATACAATAGATGTGTATTTGACTTTGTAAACCCCATGAGTTTCGCATTGATTTCCCCAAACGGTGTTTTTGTGGCAGGAGTGGAAGGGCAAGGCAGAAGAATTGAAAGGCACCGTGGATCTGCAAGGAAAATCCCTGCACTAGTGAGCTTACCCTCTGGTAAACTAACATAGCTATGGAAAATCACCATTTTTAATAGGTAAATCAGCTATAGATGGGCCATTTTCAATAGCTATGTCAAATTACCAGAGGGTAAACTAACTGGGCTGTGATGAATGGAAGTTTTAAGGTGATGGAACCGATCTTTCGCCCGGTCACAGATGGTCAAAGCACGTGTAAACGCTGCAGAACTGTGCGACATACAACCGTGCCATGCAGCGCAAACGACATTTGGGTTTGGACAAAAATGGGAACACCCCTTAAATCCATTGGTTATATATGTGTATATATATATTAATAACAATAATAAATAATAATAATAAATAATAATAAATAATAATAATAATAATAAATGTAAATGATAACAATAATAATAATGATAATAATGATAATAATAATAATAATATAATCAGCATTTTCGCTACTACCATGGCCATAAATGGGTGGTAGATCACCCATTTCCCGCGGGGTATCTGAGGCAAGGCCACTGGACACTTTGAGTCCCTGAACCAGCAGATGTCGGGACACTTCGAGGTGCCGCGGGCGGTGTGAAGATAACCTGGCAACTGGATACCCTCTGGTAATTTCACATAGCTGACATAGCTATTGAAAATGGGGATTTTCCATAGCTATGTTAGTTTACCAGAGTGTAATTAAAAAACTGGGGCTTGAAGTATGGGGATTCAAAGATTCTTGGATGGTTTGGTTGTTGCCAATAGGGCTAACTGGAAGCTTTTTGGATTTGACAATTGGACTTTCCAGCCATGGGATAGGTTGCAAGATTTGTAGCTCCCAAACTCACATGGTTGGAAGTTGAGAGATATACTCCACCCGAGATAACTATGGAAGTGGACTTCCCCCGGTTCTTAGTGCCGTGATCCTCCGACTTTTACAGTCATTGACCATCACCAACGTTCTCCCAAATTGCCATTTGGTTGTGAAAAATGATGATGACCCATTGGAGGGGTGCCCTATTTTTTGGACAACAACGATGTTTGCCGTTGTGTGAAGCCATGTGCTCCAAAGCATGCCAGGGATGACAGCCCTTCTCCAGCAGAAGTGGATCCA